AGAACCACTGCAATAATTAATGCATCTGTCAGGACCCTGGGTCTGAATGATCCAGGGTCCTTGAGCAGTGTGGACTCAATAATTATTATGTGTTTTTGCTGCATTGTGCTGCTGTCTGTGTCCCCGTTTGTATGTATAGGCAGGTATGTGCGTGTGTGTGCAGTTGTATCCTGACAGGCACCTTCAGGCCTGGTGGGTGTGGCCCTGGTAGGGGCTGGACACACTTGAAGACCATGTCACTCACCTGCTGTTGATGAAGCTGTCGGGGGAGCTATTTAAGAGCATGAGGAAGCTCCCACCATGACAGGATTGTTGGGTTAGACTCCATGTTAGTGTTTCTAGTGTTGTTAAGTGTATGACTGCTGGAGTTTGGTGTCCTGATGTCTTCAGGAGGAGAGTGGAACACAGGACAGCAGAATGCTCGGGGTGTGCAGAGAAACGAGAGCAGAGAGCACGGAGCACGGACACTTGGGAGAAGGCACGACGAGTGGAGATCAGTCTCCACTGGATCTCAAGCCTGGAACTGCTTTTGGCAGCTGGTAAAGGGGAAACTTCATCACCACTTTCACTTCCAGAGTCATTAAGAGTGTAAACTAAAAAAAAATTTTTTTCTACAGTAATTTCATGTTAATAATTTTCAATAATTTTCTGTTCTGTTTCGAGCATAGTTTGATACTAATAATAAGGGAAATATAGTAAAGTGCAGTTTTGACAGTGTTCTAGTTTGTTTAAACAGAAAAGGATTTGTTACCTAATGTCATGATGTGTTAGACAATGTGATTGGTCATTTTGTCATTGAATGACATGGAATGAAGACCATCTTCCTCCACCTCTAAAACAAGTGAATGCGAATGAATGCAAGGGAGTGTGATGAGTCCACAGATTATACAGACAACTGATTTCCTTACAGAAAGAAACTGGTTCATAATTTTAAAAAAGAATAAAAAAATATTGATTAATGACTTTAAAACAACACATTTAAGTCCTTTATTGTGGTCAAACAAGCATTAATCGATGTTGTACAAGATCATTATGATACAGGGCCTAGTTATTATTAGCTACTAGCAATGAGCAATGATGGTTGTAACTGTGTACCTTCCAAGGGGAAAAATCATTTAACACTTATTTTGGAAGAAAAAACATCAACATTTTAGGATATTTTTCCCAGATTTGATGAATGTAGTTTTTTATGTCCCAATTGCCATTCAAATTAAAGTAGAAATAGTAGAAGTAATGCTTCTCAGTAGCATGATCAAAACCTTGTTCTATATGATTTTGGTTAAATTATTTAGGAATTGTTGACT